TGCCTGCAGCTTTAATTTGCACTTGTTTTTTGATCGGTTGTAATTTGATATTGCCTCGCCGTCAACTGAATATGTGCAAACAAACGAAAATCCTTGCTAGCGATTCAATAAAATGAAATTTGTTGAAAACTAAAATCGCCACCACAGGTATAACTTTGAGAATCAAAGCTAAAATTGACTACTTACCACCAATTCATTAATTGAATATACGTCACAATCCCAAATACTAGATTGCAACAAATATTAGAAATTTACTTGGCCGTCATTAGCAACGGACACTGATATGCATTGCCAGTTTTACAATAGCAGCTGAAAATTATAGTAGTCTATGTGCCTTGTGCGAGAAGGAAAGTCATGTGTCATATTCTCCACTGTATACCACATTACTTTTTAGTAGAGGGCACTGCAAAGCAAGCTTTGAAATTAGGGCCAATTTCACCTTGGAAGTTCAGTTTATCTCATATATAGAAGGCACCGTAGTAGGGCAGACATGGAAAAATCATTTGCATATCTGTAAGTTAGGCACTTATAACTTGTTTACACTTGTCAGGTATGAAGACAAACAATGCTATCAGAGAGAAGAAAAGTGGCCTCTGGGACCAAACATTCAGAATAACATGTAACTAGGTACTCTTATACTATGTATTGTGTGGTCGATAAGTCGCCTATTGTGACGATGTCCGACATTAAATAGCCTTCAAATAAAAAATGGTTTATCTGTGTTTGATTGTAAAAGCATGGGATTATTAAAATTTGGTTCATTAAAAATAAATTGTGAATGATAATGATTATCTTTTCTAATTTTATTAAGTGCGTTCCAACATTTTGAAATTCCAGTATAAAAATATTGAATGCACTGTCACAGTGTAAGGCCTGCTTATCGCTTATGAGAGGGCACCATAGAACTCACACTGGACAGGGGGTTCTTTCACTGCTAGAATGGGGTAGACAAGACAATAGTACTGGAAATGAAATATACATACACCAAAATATCGAGTTAAAGCTTCTGGCTTTAATACCTCTGAAAATAATTACCAGAAAAATACAACGAATAAAGTCACTAAAATAGGGGATTGCTGAGGGAAGTGTGCATTGGTGATAACCCACAGTTCCAGGATGTATTATTGGACGACAGTCAATGGCTTCTTCAACACAACAACGAAGAAATACAGGAGTATTGCTTGCAGAGGAATGCTGGTATTCTGGAGGGCACCGCTGGAAGCGGGCGATCGCGGAGCAGTTCATACAAGTCTCACAGAATGATGGTTGTAGCCTGTAATATCGTATCATAGCAGAACACACAGGAAAGCAAATTGAAGTGACGGACAGCAAGTTTAAATGATCGACCCAAACTGTCTTTAGTCTGTCCAATTTATAGGCAGGGACACCACCTGGGTTTCTACATGAGCCAACCAGAATGTAATCTTGCTAGCAGCTGTGTCACGTAGGCAACTCAGTAGATCTTAATCATCCTTTGTTATTCAAATAACAGCACACCTGGTAGATTCCAATTCTCCTTCCAAAGTTGTAACCATTTGTTATGTAAATTACAAGCACACCTGGTAGAACCCACTGTCCTTCCAGAGTTAAAAATAAGTATGACCTGTCAATCACCTCTATGACAGTTATCACAATACACACCGTTCCTTACCATGATTCCATGCACACTTCCATTTGTAGGGTTTGAGGTAATATGACAAAACATGAAATAAAAGATGCTGACATTGCCCCCTCATCAAGACTGAACATGGCACATTTTCAGTCCAATAATCAGCATCAACTGCCAATAAATTCACATTTTTCAAAAATGCAATAAATATTGTAACAGTAATTCTAAGCATTCTAAATCCTGCTTAAATAGTCTGCCCCTATATTCTCTTTACCTTTAATTGCTATAATGCGGTAGCTAAAAGATTGCAAATATAGGGCCCACCGCAATGACTGTTTTAACCTACACCAACTCTACTAAATATACTGACTAATGCATCAGCAACCACTTCAGAAGTAAGTTTCTTTAATGCCACAGCCTGAGGGTATCGTGAAGCATAGTCTACAACAGTTAAAATGTACCTATGACCTCTCTCAGTCACTGAACTGATCAGACCAATCAGATCCATAGCTATCATTTGAAAAGAAACTGCAATCAAGGGCATATTGCCTAATGATACCTTGTTAACACGATCCCTAGGAGTGGTCTTCTGACATATATCACATGACCTGCAATATCTAATAACATCGTCCTGCATACCAGGCAAATAAAACTGAGTTGCTATTCTATCTGTAGTCTTCTTGGCACCCAGATGACCTGCCATAACTGACTCATGAGCAAGTGCTAGTACTTGATCACGGTAACACAATGGTACAACTAATTGGGCACATACTCGTCCTCTATCAACATGAGGTGACTGAAACTCTCTATACATCAGCCCCTTGTTCATCACAAACCTTGCCCGATTGTTACGACCTGTGATCAACTCCTCACCTGTACTCACCAACTTCCTAGCACGCTCTAATGTGGAATCAGACTGCTGTGCCTCTCGCACTGCATCCACAGTAATAGGTTTCTTACCATCATTAGTATCAATCTTATTATGCAATTCCTTGAACTCAGGAACTAAAAGCCTACGTAATGGCTTCTTCTCAGCTATCTTCTGATCCCTAGTCTGTACCACATGTACGACATCAACACCATCATCCTCACTGGAATCAATGGAGGGTTCACAACCACTCCCACTATCTGAAGGCTCTCTTATTCTAACACCAGGAGAAAACCTTCATTCATATAGGGCACCCTAGCCTGACTACTAGTAGATGTACAACCTTCATTACCTGAGGGAACACGTCTAGTCTCAATACCCGAAGGACAACAACCTTCACCACCAGAGGGCACACTAGTCCCATCACTCGAAGGAGTACTATGTTCACCACCCGAGGTATGATTCCATGCACACTTCCATTTGCAGGGTTTGAGGTAATATGACAAAACATGAAATAAAGGATGCTGACATGCACAAAGACCTACAGTCAATATGTGTAACAAGAAGACAGAAACCCACATTTTTTGATTAAATAGTCAAGGAGAGAGAATAATGGGTGGTCATAGTCTGCTCACAAGTATCGTTGGATTAACTACAACCTCTTGGCCTTGATCATGGATGTTAGGTGAATCAGATCACGTCCTTTGTATGAGGTTTGATTCAAAACAATGCCACCATTCTCGTTTATGTAAAGCATATTCCAAAGTACGTTAAGACCATGACATTTCCATTGTACATGTAAACCCATGGGGGAGTCAAAGCCATATTTCTACTGCTTAACGCATAAACCATGAAAAAAAGTTGGCATTGCCCTGCTGTTTGTTCCTGGGATAGTGATACCTTCAATCGTTGGTATCAGGCTATAACTAAATTGCGGCTAGACAGTGTTAGGACGCCCTCAGCGATGGAGATTGAAATAAAAACTCATAGAAATCAGAATCCAGAATGTCAAAAAAATTCTCCCGGTAGCCGATTTATATCAGTGGTTCTCGAATAGACCATTTTCCGTTCACTGCGAGAATCACGCGTTATGTGTGAAATCGAACGTAAAAACAGGACAAATAAAGATCATAGCGTTGTAGTCGCGTCAAACATCGCGTGGGATTCGACAAACGCGAAAGTATTTCGGGGACATTTCCATGCTTAATAATGTGCTGTCCACATTTGATGATAGGCAATTTCGATTAAGTAAGGGTATTCGGAAGCAATATTCCTCTGTCGAAGATCGGCCGGTCAATGTAAGCTACGAAATAAAGAAATTCTAGTTCAAAATCAAATCGTTGGATTTTTGCGACAGACGTTCGACGCGCGTCTTTCATGCATCTCGCGAGATTTCGCAATTGTACGGAAAATCACCTATTTTAGACATGCTTGACTGATAAAATTAGTTCATCAAGCGTTACTGGACTATCACACACTTCAGCCTTGTCAGTGTCAAGTTGAGGAAGATCACACAGAATTGTATTTTGATTTTCCTCTGAAATAAGAGAGGGCGAAAACAAGTCACATTGGAACTGCCGAGTTATTTTCAATATTTCTGATATTTCTTCAGCAAGGGTGTTGTCATGGTTAAAAAATGAGTGATTGTCTTGTGCGTTATTTTCTTACAAGATTGAAAAAAGAATATACTACTTGTGTCAGACTCATTTAAAATTTGAGGTCGTGAGTGAAACGATGAACCTCAGATTTTGTTTTTAATGAGTGATGCAAATGCAGTTGTTTTTTGTTTATTTTCCGCAGTTAAACTTTGATATTAGGTGAGGCGAGCTTCACGATTATTAAGTTCTTTCAATTCATTTGATTGTTTAGAGTAGAGATGAACTCCCTCACCATAATAATGGGGTGGATGTGACCAAGGTGAGACATGGTTCTTTTGAAAGTATTTGAGACAACCAGGTGACCTGCCCCGTTGACATTAAGTAAATGGTATGTCATCTCGTTCACAGAAACTTTTAGGTGAAGTAGACAAGCACTAACAACACTGCAAACTCATCATCTGACCAATCATGCATTTCGTAGCGGAAGATTTTCAAGAATATCACCGTTGTATCTGTAGGTTGAGATCGCATTTTTTGCTAATTTTTGGAGTCAAAAACGCCAGGTTAAGAAAGTGACCCGGTGGAAAATATGGAGTTCTGTTTCCTAACTTGTCTATTTTTATGTGTAGTGAAGAAGGTACGGACCTCCGATTGTTAATAAAAGACTTGTTATGGGTAACAAGTGACTGTGGTCTGTTTGGTGGCTGGCTAACATCCTGGTCGACAAAATCGAATATCCAATAGTGTCCAAATAAGTAGGCAACAGAAGTAAATACGGACCGATTGTTGATACGGATATATGCATGTGTTTTAGTCGGACAGTACATGGACACCAGAGTTTGCTCCAGACATAGTATACTATGCAGTATGCTCCAGGAATACTCTACACGAAACGTGCACCAAACAAAAAAACACTTTCACCTACCTTGATATAGCTCACAATCCACTGCTGGTCTTCGAAATGAAATAAATGAGATCGGTGACCGTTAGTACACCCCTCGTTTGCACTGTGCGTAGTAACCTTGATCCTAATCACACAAAAAACAAACAGGATTCAGAAGTATTGGTATTGGAGTTAAACGGCTTCGTTGAGGTCTGCTTCTTGTAAACGCAAGAGGTTGTACAACTGTGACCTGTAGAGTCACGTGCAAGGGTGATTGAGGTCAGTTTAACAAAGGCCGCTGTACGTTTTGTCGTTTGCTCATTTGGGATAGCTAAGTATTCCACATACAAAAATATAAATTGAAATAGAGGTTCCCATATTCAATTTTCACCAAGACCGTACTATTTCAAGCTACAGGGTGTCTATCCTCGGGGGCATCCGGGCATTTTCACCGCCTGGCAACCCACGCGGTGAAAACAAAGGCCAGAAATTCTCAGAAAAACCGGAGTGAAGTCATCCGCCAGTCGCCATCCGCCAGTCAGAATATCCGCCAGTCGCATCCGCCAGTCAATAATGTTGAATGTTCATACAAAATAAAAAAAGTTACCTCTTTTAATAATCGCTGGTTCATACGGCTGTGGAAACCATTAAAACATATTTTTTTCGGAAAAATTACGATTTTTAGATCAAATTCATAAAACACACTAAAATTCCTCCATTTGGAATGGTTGTTGACACTCCCCTGAACAGTGTAATAAGATTAGCCCTGCGTGTGTAACATATATAAATTTGGTTGTTCAGGATTACTTCAAAGTTGAGTTTGTGTTGTTTTCTCGAATTTTCACCTACTCAACCGGCGTTCCACAGCAGCGCGCACGGAGCCGTCTTGTGACGTAGCTCCGTCCCCGAGGATATGGCGTCGTATTCCACCAGATTGAAGTCATCCGCCAGTCGCCTTCCGCCAGTCAAATATTTTTTTGTTCATACAAAATAAAAAAAGTTACCTCTTTTTATAATCGCTAGTTCATACGGCTGTGGAAACCATTAAAAAAATATTTTTTTGGAAAATGACATTCTAACATTCCTCCCGAGTTGAGGCGATAGCAACCACAGTTTGAATATTCGATACACATGAACTAACTAGTAATAAATAATCTCCAGTATCTATAAAGTATAGAAAATATTTCAGACCTTTGGCACAATCATTATTTTGGTTGCAATTTGGGGTCAAATGACGATTTTAAGATCAAATTCATAAAACACGCTAACATTCCTCCCAAGTTCAGGCGATCACAACCACAGTTTGAAAATCGATAAACACGAACTAACTCGTAATACATAATATGACAGAACCCACACACCCTGCCCGTGGCTTTTGTTGCGTATGGAAGTTATTTTCACGAGTGATGCGGTGTATCCTGCGGCCGTACTTTCACGAGCGAAGCGAAGCGAGTGAAAGTACAGCAGAATACACCGCATCGGGGTTCTGTTATTATCACATATGTTCCATATTTGATTATTTCATATTGAAGAAAGAACGTGCAAACCGGGATGGAATTTAGGTCGGGGAACCCCATTGCCCATTAATATGTTCCAATATAAGTGTTACGCCCTAGAAGCCGTGTCAGTGTAGAACGCGCCCGAAGAAATTGTACAAAATAATTTAGGGGGGTGTATTTCACACTTTTTATCGCCATACGCGGTTACTACACATTGGCAACGTTACAGTATCGCATCAAAATGGGAGAGGGCGTCCTCACATACCGCGATGCTTCCTCGGATCATATTTTACAGTCATGGGTTCACTTCAACAGTTCGCCCTGGAAGTAATAACCAGCAAACGTGTCATACATCGTGACTTACCTGGATAACGATTTATTTTTCAGTAATCAGACATACTGATTCAATTAATCTCATAATTTTAGGTCGCAATAAATAACTCTATTGCCGCTTTTCCTACCTGCGCAGCCACTACAACGAACAGGGCTCTACTAGTAACGTCCGTGTTTCAGACAGTGAGATTTAGCGGTTCGTCCTGTTGATCAATGGGGTTGTTATTATACGACGCTCTACGCTCGTACGTCTGCTTTAAACCGACGAAGCTCAGCATCGCATAATGTTACTGTTGTTGTATGGGTGTATTGTTCACAGTGGGATACAGTATTATTTCAATACTCGGTAGTAAGTAGCCTTAAACGGTCGGCGATAGCTATTGCGCCCTCGCCGTAGTTTGCGCCGCAGTGAATTTGTCGCCGAGGGCACAGTAGCTATCTCAGACTGGCGGCAGGAGGTGCTCGACACTGCACTGTGATACATTCAGTTTATAACACGGAAAGATGCAGAGAGTAAAGATTAACGAAACCTGAACGTCGTTAAAATGTGACATTTGAACATACCACACTTACGCCATGATTGACATCACTCAATATTTTTTAGTTGTTGTTTCATTGAGTTTGAAAGTGACTCGCTACGAGAATCTGTGCACAGCACAGAATTGTCAAATACGCTACGTATATTGTATCATAGTCGAAACCACAGAAGCGAAGGTCGTTTATATATGTGGTAATTTATTTAACCAAGATTTTTAGATTTGATATCCTCGCGTTGCGTTGCCTAACAGTTACATCGCGTCGACAATGAATTACGAAGTATTAAAAAATTATCGCTGACGGAGAAACTTTACATACAATTTACTCGCGCGTACATGATTAAAACACAACACATTTATTATCATCATCTCCCGGTCAATGGCTATTCTCGACGTGGTAAGAAGAGCATTGAAGCTAATGGTGTTGTTAAAAAAAAGTATTCGTAGGAAGAGATAGACACGTTTGCAGAAAATGTTAATATGAACTAACAATTTCATCACGTTGATTGACTTCCTATTATTATATATATATGTTGGTAGTAACAGAACGTGTTCCGAAAGATTCGCTCATTCAACTGATAAATAAATTGTAACTGTTTAATCTTTCATCACGACTCGTTCATATTTATTGACAGTGAGTAATCGCATGAGTTTTAGCTGTCCCGAAGCACGAGATGTGAAAACGTATCAAAGCTCGGAAATAATATCATAGCTATGAAAGAGCTGTGTTAAACAATCTCTTTTTTGTTAGTGTGTATGCTCCTATCAATCATTCTTCGCCACTTACATTCATATAAAGC